ATTAAATATATAAAGATGGCATGAACAAGAAGAAGATAAATTTGTCTTATCAAACACACACAGACACACGATCACACTTATATAATAGGATTGTTATATGCAATGACATCGCAAATGGCGGAAGCATTTAACGAACGGTGAAAAGGAAAAAAAGAGTAAAGGAAAAGTAAAGGAAATTTTTAAATAATAAAAAAGATTAGTTAGAAATAATGTAAAAAAATAAAATAATTGAAGGGTATAAACAAACTAAAAGATATAAGAAAAAATAAAACAAGAAAATGAATAAAAGAAAAAACAAAACAAACAGATTTAATCAAACAAAAAAAATCAATTAACAGCAATCTACCAATTTAAAAGAAAAGAAGTTCGAAAAACTAATTAAAACGTAAAAAATCACAACCAATTTTTGTACACCTTTTTTTTTGTGGCAAATATGTGATATTTGTTATATTATTATTCTTTATTATTATATTATTTATTAATATTATAATATTACCATTAATTATTTTTATCAAATATTATATTTGTTAAATATTATCATATTGTGTATGCATTTCGTTTTGTAGTTTTTGTGTTTCTTTTTTCGTTTGTGTAAAGTTTGTTATTATTTGTACTAATTATTTTTATTGTTGTTTTCTGTTTTTCTATTTACCAAAATTTCTCACCTTTTTTTTTTTTTTACTTCCCAAAAATAACTAAAGTTTGTCATTATTTTTTAATTGAATTTTTTTTTTGTAGAAGTATTTGTGTTACTAATTATTTTTATTTTTCTTTGCTGTTGTTATTGAGTGTTTTCATTTTTTTTTGTCTTATTATTTAACTTTTTTTAGCTTTATCGTAAAAGTGTCATCTTTATCGTATAGTAAAAAAGTGAACTTAAATCTATATCACAATAAAGGATTTCAATCTATTGGAATGTTAAGAACTCAAGGTACAATACTAGCAACAAAGTCATCAATTTGAACAGTGATAAGTTTAATTCATTTGATATAAATTAGGTCAAATCTATTGTAGGTTCAATTATTGATGGAGATTGATCAAAAAAATTGATGAAGACATCAAATGTGTTACAACTACGCTAATTATTATGGGTGAAATTTTTTTTTTTTGAAAATTTCTCACGGCTGTATCCTAGATACAAGCTATATTTTTGCTTATGTTATTTTTTTATTATTGGATTAAGAAGTTATAATTAAAAAATTGAAAACTATTTATTTTATTATTATAGGAAAATCAAGCTATAGGCCGCTTTCAAAATGCCAGCAGCGCACAGTGACTCAGGACAATCAAAAAACGGCAAAAATTAAATAAAAATTGACATAAATCGTAAATAAATAATGCTATATATTAAAATAATAATTTTTAAGTCAAAGATTTCAAATTTGTTAATAATTTTTTTTTAACGCGCAGCATCGACGCGTAAAATGCGCGCTTTCCCGTGTTAAAGACTATACGCGTACAAAAATATTTTTTTTTTAGTTTTTAGAATCTTCAAGACAAACACATAATTTTGATATATTACTCTACTTGATATTTTTATAAAAATGGTTTTTAAAGGATGTTGATACATACAGAAAAAATACTGTATTTTTTTACATTAAATTTGTTATTTACATTACAATTAATTTAAAAACTTCATCTGGTAACGGTTTTCCTCGATAGCTCTTATGTTACAGAAAAAATACCCCGATTGGCAAAGGTAATTTATGTGATATAGAAGAACTATGCAGTAGCAGTTTATGTACAATAGGAGGCATAACATACCAGTTGTATAAACTCACTATACGTTTAGCTGTTTCAGTGCAGTATAAATCTAATTCATTGATATTGATAGGATATCCACAAGATATGCTTATGAGAATATTATGCAATCTTTTAATTATATCACTATCAACTTTAGTAATTTCAGAAAAAATTTCACTTGTGTATATATAAAAAATTTCATTTGTGTTTCCAGACCCAGTTTTAGGCATATCAACGTATAGGCTTAATCGTTCTCTGAAGAGTACCTGAATCTCTTTTTTTTTTTTAAGTCTACATATAGTTTTTCCTCAATTGTTTTTGGCTTATACTTTTTAATTTCAATTTTATAAATCAAATGAAGAATGAACTCCAAGCATTTTATCCAGCAAAGCTGAAATTCCGAGCCCCAAGGCCGAGTCATTCTCAGTTTTTGCTTTTAATAAATCAATATTGTTCACTTCCTTGGGTTTAGCGTTGCACACATTGCAGGATTGAGTGGATTTTGTCTCTGTAAGTGCGCTAACTACTTTATTATCAAACATTGTAAGATCAATCCTATAGCTGATATTAAATGTCAAAATTCTTCCTGCAATATTAAAAACTTTGCAAAACGTCTTTAAGGCATTTATTTGATTTTGTAGATCTGATTCTTCTTCTCTGGATAAAATTGGACTCTTTTTTATATCGTAGATGAAGAGGTCTACAAAAGTGACAGCTTGAAAGATTTTCATTTTTCCAAATTTCGCCATCTTCTACTTTGAGCAATAAAGGCACAAAAGCTGTACTGAAAAGATTTTCTTCATGCTTAAGTTCTATACTTGCATTGCTTGCATCGTATTTCTGTTTATAAATACTTTAGCTTGATGCTCCATCAAAACCAATCTTTCCATATAAAACTCCAAATATTTCATCACTTTGACCAAAATTAGGCATATCAATCATTTCTGTTATTTTATTCACAGTGTAATCTAACATGCTTTGAAGAGTACACTTTGCAGAAATTTCAGAAAAATGTATATTCTCACGATAGCATTTCAATTTTTCCACGAAAATATCGTGCAAGGTAGGACAAATATGTACGTTGTATACAAGAGCCGAGTTTCTGATCATTTGATATTGTTTATCGCTGAGATCAGTATTCATTTTTAATGCAAGAGCATCCTCTACACTCATGTTAATAGGAAAGGTTTTATCCAAAGTTTTATCAACTTTTTCTATCTCTAAAACATTAGATATATTGTTTTTTAAAACAGAGGATTTTTTTTTCTCCAGCAGCATTTGCACTTTTTGCAGAAGCTAAAAATAGAGCTTCATGATGTTCAGTGGCTAGTTCTTTTATTTTTTTTCTTTTGCTTCTCTCTCCAAGAACACTCCATTGTTTATGGGGCCTTCCAGAACCAAAATGGCTATTTTGGTTCTGGAAGTTTATTGTTCATAAGATTTCTTTGAAGCCAACGATTTTCTTCTTGTAAAAATGTATCATAATTTCGTCCATATTGTTTTAGTTTTTTCTTCACCTTTGAAATAAGTATAACTAAAGCAAGCTTAACTTTATTTAAGTTTTTTTTGCGTATTTTTTATTTCATTAAGTAAATTCTTCCATAATTTTAATTTATCAACTCCTAATTCACGTATATTTGGGATAAGATCTAATCTTTTCATTGTTATCGTTTTTAAGAACCATCAATATAATAAAACTAATATATTAGACAAATTTTAAATTACATTACATATTTTTTTACTTTACACTGTTTTAAATTTTATTTTGTTATGACTTTTTACAAATTTCACATTGTTACATCCTGAATTAACACATATTACTTAGTTAACTTTATATTAAATGTCATGTATTACATGTAATATAAAGTTAACTAAGTAATATGTGTTATTACAGGATGTAACAATTTGGTATTTCTTGAAACGGCAAATACCAAAGTTGTTGTCAATTAAGCTTTTTCAAACGTTGTACTTATCGAATAATAAATCGTTCTTTAAAATTGTTAATAAATATTTTAACAAACTTTTAAATAGTATATAATGACAAAAGCACGTTTTTTAAAACTATATTTAATATTTATGATTTAAAAACTATATTAGAACAAGTTCTACAAGCAAGAAACTTAGCTTTAAGTTTCATTTGTTTTGATATAATAAAGTTCTTAGCAAAATGGCGGAAAATAAGGTTTATATAAAATCATTAACATTTGTTTTTCTTTAGTAACTTCTAATACCGCAGGAGACCGCAGTAACCCTTTTACATTCCTAAAGTAGAAATGTTAATTAACTGGAAAATATATATATATATTTGTAGAACTCGGTGGAACATTTTTTAAGCTGATATATAAACAAAAAAAATACAATTATTTTCTACTTTTTTTTAGAGAAGTCTTTAAATTTAAACAAAAAAATCGGACTTTTTTTTTTTCTTTTTAGTATATTTGAAATATATAGAGTCAAAATATTATTTTAAAAATAATTATACACTTTTATTTAAATTTCAAGTTCTCTAATTCAGTTGAGTAAAAACCTCACATTTTTCAGATTTCTTTAAAAATAGTATCAAATTTTTTCACTTCTTTTACCTATAAAATACAAAATAAAAGCTTTATGAAAAAATTATTTTTACTTTTGAAATAAAAAATCATTGTCTTTTAATATTATCTAACAAAGGACGCTTAATTTATAAAAAAGTGGTAAGGGGTTTATTGCCATTTTTTTGTTGCTTTGAGTCACTGTGCAGCGGTATTTAAGATGATTGTCCGCTACCGGCATGTTTGCTGGGAGTATACGTGAATTTAAATAATAATCGAAATAAAAATAAATGGCAAAAAATAAATTAGCACTTAACAATCTGAAAATAAATAACATTTTCAGCATTGTAAAATAAAGATTTTGATGAGATGAAACAGCACCAAAAGTTTATGTATGTACTAAGACAGAGTTATTTTTTAGTCAAAAAACAATAAAAAGCTATATAAGTAACTGAGTACTGTTTGAAGGTCCCTACATACATAATATATTTTGAGGGACCCCAATTAACCCTGAGGATGTCCTTATAGAGGACAAAAGAAGCTTAACCCTCTTAAACATTTTTAAAAAGCGTTAAGCTTAGCTAGCAATTTTTTTATCAAAAATACAATTTCAAAAATAATTGATAAATTTACTTAAAAACAGTTTAACGAGAATTTAATCATTTTAATGTTAAAATGGAGTTTATTTGTTCACAAATTTAAAATGAACTGAATTTTTCTTTGTTATTTTAATGTATTTATGTTATAGTATTTTCATGAAATGACTTAAGAGCGTTTTCATGAATTGATGTTGGTGTAGAGTAATCAGAAACATCTAATGAGACACTTGGAAGATTAACTGAGTACAGTAAATCTTTTCCAACAACCAAAAGAGAACTTTTTTGAGGTTCGCTTAAAGGGGATTTTCGTGATAGCATTGTTTTGGTACGCAGTATTTCCGTCGTTATTTGTTCGAGTTGTCCCAGGTAGAGCAAAAGGTTATTTTGAGTGATTTTTGAACACCCGAGTTTAACTGTTGATTTTGAATGAATCGGTTGTACTTTTATCAATACTTTTTCTATCACAGGTAACAAGTTTATTAATTTTTGTTGATTGGCAGATGTCATAGAGGAAGTGTTAATAATTTCATCATTTAAATTTTTTTTTTTGCCTTGCAGTTTTTCTAACGAATTATTCATTTTGTTTTCATTAGCCAACTGTATATCTTTAAATGAAATTGATTGTTTGTTGATTGTTTCGATCAAGTTTTCGTTTATTTCGATTTCTTTAGATTGCTCTTTTACAAAGTTATATAATGCAAACAACTCTTTTTCTTCTATTTTAAACGAATTTATCATCTCGTCAATGTTATCTGTCGATTCAACCTTAAAAAATAAAAATTACCAACATAACGAAATAATTTTTCTTTTAATAATTATTAACAGATCATATTATTCATTTTATAATAACTTTAATGGTTATTTTTATTTATTTTTTTTATTTTTGATTTCTTTTAAAATTACCTTAAAAAGTTGATTAAAAACACTTTCATAATTTTCAACTTCAATGTTTAAAACACGAATGTTACTATTTAATTTTTTTTCAATTCTTTCCTTCAAAATGATGTCATATGATTCGGCGTGTTCTTCCATCTTTGTGTCAATAAACAAACGCAATTTATTTTCGTGATCTATAATTCTTAATATATCTTTGAGTTCAGTATTGTATGCTATAATATCTCTATCAGAACGGTCTCGAAGAAATTGTAATCGGTGCTGAGCCTCGTCGCGGCTAAATAATTATAATTAACTTATATATAACAGTAAAATATTCAACTACATAACAGTAAAAGATGGGTCAGCCTATAATAACTTTGTTATTATTTTACACAATAACAGTAAAAGATGGTTCATGATACATCAAATTACTGTGAGAAAGACAAGGTACTTTATTGTCTAATGATTTGAAATGAAAGGCAGAAGTTAAAAAAAGGTATTATGTTGTCTAATGATTTCGTAATGAAAAAAAAAAAGGATTATATTGTATAATGATTTGAAATGGAAAGAACAGGTTAACTATGCATGCAAAAAAGAAATGTATGTATGTATGTATGTATGTATAATGTATGTATGTATGTATGTATGTATGTATGTATGTATGTATGTATGTATGTATGTATGTATGTATGTATGTATGTATGTATGTATGTATGTATGTATGTATGTATGTATGTATGTATGTATGTATGTATGTATGTATGTATGTATGTATGTATGTATGTATGTATGTATGTATGTATGTATGTATGTATGAATGAATGTATGTATGTATGTATGTATGTATGTATGTATGTATGTATGTATGTATGTATGTATGTATGTATGTATGTATGTATGTATGTATGTATGTATGTAAGTATGTATGTATGTATGTATGTATGTATGTATGTATGTATGTATGTATGTATGTATGTATGTATGTATGTATGTATGTATGTATGTATGTATGTATGTATGTATGTATGAATATATATATGTATATATATATATATATATATATATATATATATATATATATATATATATATATATATATATATATATATATATACACACATATATATATAATAAAGAAATCAAACCTGCTAAAATGTGCTTTTGCGTTTTCAATTAAAAAACTTTTTCTCGTTCTACCATTATTGTAGATCTCCTGGAGTTTTTTTCTTAAATCGAAGAACCTGTCTCGCTGAATTTTTAAATGAGTAATTTCTTGTTTCTTCCTTTTGTTAATAGTTAGTGCGTTGTTTAGTTTAAAATGAGCAACATTTAATCGGTTCTCAATTATTCTATTTAGGTTTTGTATGTTTTCATCTTTAGCTTTTGACTCTTTTAATCCTTTGAGATGTTTTCTGAACAAATCAATTTTCATATGATAATTTTTAATATCTTTATTGACTAACTCGAGCTTTTTTGTTACTTGCAGTAAATCGTGCTTCGCGCAATTTTCCGCAAGTAACAAGTTTTTAAGTTCTTCAGTTATTTGAAATTCATTGCTTTTATTTTTTGTACTAAATGCTATTTTATACTCTATTTTTAGCTCATCGTTTTCTTTTCTCAATTTAGAAAGCGTTTTATTTAGTTTACGCAAATCATTTTCTGAATTTTCTTTATAAGCTTGTCTTTCGTTTTCTAAAATACGATACTGTCGTTGTAAACGCAGTAATTCGCTTTGAGTATCATCGGTAAAATGATCGGTTTGTTCCTTTACATTTTCTTCTGACATTTTCCCTTCTTTACTTTATAAAGTGGCAAAGAAAATAGAATTCAGTCATTGCAATTTGACGTCACATACCCAAATACAAAAAGAAATACGCAACGTACATTTGAATTTTATAAAAAGAATTGGGGAGGGTTCTGATAAAAAGACTAGGGTAAAGTTAAGAGGGTATTTTATAAGTTTTTTTATTTTAATGACATATTACCGGTAACAGATTTTTATGGTGTTTAAATGCCATTTCCTTTGAGTTTTAATACTTTTAGTGACATTGAAAAGTTCAACAAGTAATTTTTACTCGTGGTCAAATTTTAGTACCGAAAAAAATTTAATTAATTCATATGTAACCCCAAAATATAATTAAATATATATATGAATATAAAACTGTTTATTAAGATGATAAATGATAATAGTGAGTTAAAAACACGTCACTTTTATTAAACACGTCACTTTTATTAAACTCGTGTGTTTAAATTATTAAGTTTCCTATTCACAAAACTACTAGATATTATGTGTACTAGAATAAAATTTAATCTTAACTAATCAATAGAAAAATATTAATGAAAAAATAAAGAACTTATAAGTAATTTTTTGCACTTTATGAATAAAAGTATGGCGAACTATACTTTAATTTAATATTTCATTAATATATAAATTAAAAAATATTTCTCCTAAATTAAAAATAAAATAAAACTTAAAATTTTTAAATCGTTAACTTCATTTTAACTTTAATTTTTAGCCAAAAAACTTCAACTCTTAATGCAATATATTTTTGACAATTTTATTGTTTCCATGGTAACTAGACTACGTCCATAACAACAGAATCATATTTTTAAAAAAGCTCAAACATCAATCAAAAACTCATTAAAACGCAATTGGATTTCATCTTTTTGAAGGAAAAACGAATTCAAAGTTACATTTGGATATTTTTTTCGATCTCACTACAGCTTGATATAATCGAATTAGTTGCAGTGATTTATTTTCAAATTAACTGTGGTAGAAATGAATGAAGAGTTAGAAAAGGTCTAGGATGAACTCTCTATTAGCTACCAATGAAAAAAGTTAGATTTCCTTTTCCAAAGATTTTTTTCGAAAATAGAAAAATAAATTAAGATAAAGAAACTAAATTTCTGTTTTTACTGACAAAAATCGAAATTTAAGTTAACATATAACTAAATTAGGTTTCAAAATATCCAAAAAGATTGAAATAGTATATCAGTTACGTTATAATAAAAAAAACACTACTTGAGCAAAACTTTTAATTTGTTCAAAATTATTTAAGTTACGGTGTATAGCATGGGGCAGTGCTTATAAAAGTTACGGTGTACAGCATGGTACTTATAAAACTTGAGCCTCTTAATTGTAAACAGAAGCATGCTAAGCAATTAATTAAAAAATAAAACAAAGAGCATGCAAACCTCTTTTTAAAAAAGTCTTTACGTTGTTTGAACTGAATAGTTATACTATTCAGGTTTGAAGTCCAATTGTGTAAAACTTTTCTCTTAGTTATTTTACATGAGACTTAAAACACGTGTTTAGTTCAAAAATCGTTACTAAACAAGTAATTGGTGATTTAAAAATCGCAGGACGTATTTTTTTCAATTCCATGTTATTATCATAAACTAAGAGTATTTACAGCCAAATCTTTCAACAAGTTTGATAACTCAGCCTGCACATTAAAAGTCACGCTCTTACTAAAAAACGATGTAGGTTATTAATTTGAGAACCATTGAATATTTTGAAATACTTTTTACACAGGACATCATATATTCAATTTTGCGCGTTTTAAATAAAAAGTTCAATTATTTTTAAAACCCAAATTTTTCCTTCTTTTTCGGATTAATTTAGTTTACCGGTAATAAAGAGCTGTAAACTAGGGGATTTAATACCGGACCAAAAATTGAATACCAGTTTTTCGGTATTAGAATAAGTGAAAACCGAAATACCGGTATTTACTATTACTAAAATAACATTTAATAAAACCCAAAGCAACAGTTAAACGGTTTCAAAACTTTATTGTTTAAATTAAAATAATAGATATAATTAATTAATTTCAAGCAAAAAACATAAAATAGTTATTTATTACTAAAATAGGCCCGCAAAAACATAAATTATTTAAGGTTTAGTCGTTTAAAGATGATTGTATTTTTGTACATAAAATTCCTGATGAAGAGAAAGCCCGTTCAGCTTCTGCGCTAGTTGGGGGAATAGTTAAAATATAATCATATACCAACATCAAGTTGGTACCACGTGTACCGTCTTCCTCAAATATAGAAACTTCTTTTCGCACCATTTTAGTCAAATCGTTAATATTTTGCTTTGTTTTTGGTACTGTTTTTATTTTTATCTCATTATTTATGGCCATGTCTAGCTGCTCCTGTAATGTCAAGCTCAAAGGTTCGTCTTCACACATTATAGAATCTTCGTCTTCATCTGTTTCTGATGGGAATGCTGCAGTTTCAGTTTGCTCGGATGAGAGACGCTGGATAGATGCACAATTAAATTAACCAAAGCAGTTTTAGTTAGCCGATCAAATATGATATCTGAACTAAAATTATTATGGGCTTGATCACCTTTATGAAGATATTGTATGAGATAAAATAAATTTGTGCGTCTTTCTTTTATTCTTTTAATCAAGGAGGTTTTCATATTTTAACTTAATGGTCCTACGCCCAAATTTTGCAGCATGAATGCCTGGGTAGTATCAGCTGATAGTAGGTTAGCATCTCTCCGACATAAAGCCTTTACAGCCAATTTCACTGGTAACAACATAGAAACTGTTAACAATATCAATTCTAATTCAGATTCCATAAAATTAATAGCTGAGTTTAAGTCAATCAGAGCTTTTTGAATAGAATTTTTTAGCTTATAAAAACGCTCTAGCATAAAAAGTAAGCTGTTCTATCTGGTCTTATTATCTAATATTAATGACAGTTCATTACAGTGTTCAGTTTTTACATAAACTTGAAGGATTTCATTTTTGGTTGGCGATCGCCTGAACAGCTTTACAACTTTTCTAACTTTGCTTATCAATGGAGCCAAATTATTTGCAAGTTCATTTGAAATTAGCGAGTTCTGAAAAATCCTTAGTCTGTCTAAATGCTCTTCATTATTATTATTGGAAATCTCACCCGCACTATCTTCATCAGATTCAATATAATCATTGGTCAATTCTACAGTTGTTGTTTTATGCAAGACGTCAAATACACAGCCAATTGTATACCATGGATTAGACAAAGTTGCTGGTCAACGGACATTAATTGTCCTACTTTCTTTATAACGGAAGCAACATCTGTAGTAATACATACAGTATCGCGATCAATATTTAGGTTGTGTTCTTTCAGTATGTTGTTAATTAACTTAACACACATTTCTGCTGGAAAATGTCCATTAACTCTCGCTAAACCCAAATTCCAAAATCCATTTTGAGTATGAACGTTAATGTTCAAATAACGTCTATTTTTTACCGAAGTCCACTCGTCAAACGTAAGACTAAACCGATTTCCTTGCTGTTGAAGTTCAGTTAATTCTTTTATTATTGAGTTTCGAATTTTAGTAACATATTTCATAACTATTTGATACAGATACAGATTTCTCTGTTTCAAAACACGCACAAAGTCTCATCGATGAGAAATACCGGTATATACCGATATTGAGAGTTCGGTATCGGTGTTAAAATAAATGTCCGGGATACCGGGATACCGGTTTTCGGTATACCGGTATTGGATGCCCTACTGTAAGCCGATAGTTTTTTTATTTTATTTTATTGAATATTAAAGCATGTTTATTAATTATATCATTTTGTTTTTTATAAAAATAAATAACAAAGATTTCAAGAAAATAATCTGAGACGGTTTTTTATACATTTCGTCACCCGTAAAAAGTTTTGATTTTTATCAAAAGCAATTCGAAAGTTTATAAGAGTGTTTTTTAACACTAAAACTCCCCTTTTTATAAAAGCAAAATTGAAAAGTTTTTAAGTAATATTAATTAAATAATTAATATTATTATTTCAAATAATTTTAAATAATAATAGTGCATTTCCATCTCTGTGCGTGATATTTTTTTTCTTTGCTTTATTAATTAAAGTCTCTTTACCCAGCTAACACACAAACATTGGGCCATCATATGTAAAATCATCGCTAACATCGTTTGTTTCTTCCGATGCAAATTCAGCGCTGATCCAATGCCATGTTTTCAACAATAATGTAGATGCAACTTTAAACAGCTTTCACAAATAGATTGGGCCGACGTATGTAAAATCATCGCAAAACCTGATTGTTTTTACAATCTAAACCCAACGTTGATCCAATGTAAATAGCCCAACGTAGATTTAAAGTAAAATGATTACGGTTAATCAAATATATACAACCCAACATTGATTTAATATATATTACACATTAATGATGTTTGACATTAATGTCAGTCGTATCATAGCTTTCGCCATTTCTGTCATTTGCAATAGTAATGTCAAACACTTACACTTACAAAATATTGATTAAGTGTTTCGGAAATTAAAGATTTATTTGTAATAACTTTATTATCAATTGTTAGATTTATAGGAAGAATATTTCTGTCAGTTTGTTTCGTACCAATTACTTCCTTAATAATGTTCCAAATATTGTGCCGATCATATTTATGTTTAATTAATTGCTCGGTATAGTACAACTTCTTGGACTTTTTAATAACCATCTCAAAAATACGTGTATAATTTTTGTAATTGGTTTTATTGTTGAAAGTTTTTTTTTTTGAGAAATTTATTATATAGTCGTTGCTTTTTTTTTGACGACTTGATAATTCCCGGAGTTATCCATGGATTTGATAATGTCTTTTTTTTCACACATTTTGTAATTGATGGAAACACTGTATTATAAAGTTGTTGTAATTTATCTAGAAACTTATTGTATGCCTTATTTGTGCGTACAATATCAAGGAGGTCATCCCAGTTTAAATCTGCTAGAAGACTATTAAAATTTTCAATGGATTTTTCATCTATTTGTAGTGTAATTTTTTCAATTTTTTTTGCATAGATATTATCGCATTTTTTGTGAGATAAGAAATATAGGGAAGTGGTCTGAATTGTCGCATTTAAATATACCCGTTTTTATTTTTGATTTAAATTCGTTGGTTACTATTTGGTCTATAACAGTTGCGCTTTCTCTAGTTATTCTTGTGGGTTTATTAATTAGTGGAGTATAGCCTTTCTGATAAATGACGTTATAGAAATTATTTATTTTTCTATTTAAATGACGCATGTTCATGTCCAGGTTAAAATCACCTACAAAATAAACGCTTTTATTTTTGCTTAACTTATTTTTAATTATGTTTTTAATATAATTTTCGAATTGTTTTATTGAACTGGAAGGTGGTCTGTATAAAACGTGGATGATAATGTTTTTTGTGGCTTTATTTATTATTTCCACGCACAGTAATTCACAATCATTAGTGGTTGAACACAAATCTTTTCTTAGTTTGTATACTAAAGTATTGCTTATAAATATACACAAACCCCCTCCTTTCTTCCCAGATTCTTTAAATTGATGAATCACTTTAAAATTTGGCAGCTGAAAATTTGTATTTGACATAATATATTCATCAGTACACCAAATTTCGCTGAGACTAATAATTTTAAAATTGAATTTAATCTCGCATAAAAGTTGTTTAAATGATTCAAAATTGTTTGAAATGCTCCTAATGTTTAAATGCAAAATTGAAAATGAATTTACATCTATTCCTTGCATTATGTTTGCAGATTTATGGTCCTTTTGCATATCGCCCAATTGATATTATTTTTCAATAAGTTTAGTTGTACTGACGAATTCGACGAAAACTGACGAAAATAAAGACGAATTAATTGACGAATTCGCCCCTCATGACTTGATGATGAAAAAATTAAGTTCTACACTAAAGTAACTTTAGAATTTATTTTGATTCAATACATTAACAAAGTAGAGACCCTAATTAATAAAAAAAAAATATTACACTAGAAAAAATAACTTATTTATATGCAAATTCATTTTGTTGAAGTAAAACATGACGAACTCTTACACACGATTTTTAGCCTTACCATACACACGATTTACACATGTGTTTTAATAGATTACGCAGAATTTGAAAAAGCTACCTAATTTAGGGTCCTTATATATATATACACACACACACACACACATATATATATATGTATATATATATATATATATATATATATATATATATATATATATATATATATATATATATATATATATATATATATATATATATATATATATATATATATATATATATATATATGTATATATATAAATATATTAAACATCTTTTATAGTAATTATAAGACTTTCAATTTTTTAAGCAAGGACCAAAAATTTTATTAAACAACAACAAAATATTATTACTTAATTTATTTAGTTTACCCACTACAGCACAAATTAACTCACTGAACAGCCTTAAACTCTGATTACTTCTCGTTAATCACCAGCTCATTTAATTGAATTCCATTTAAATATCTATGATGTTGATAAAAACTAATATATAATAGGAACTTAGAGTTAAAATATAATTTAGATAAAAAATCAATATAATGTATCAACTACAAACATACGGATTTTGTTGATCAACATATTCCAATACTTTATGAAAAATCCCAACCCAGTGGTTCATAAATTGATCGTCTGCTATTATTGATTTGGCATCAATTATCCCAGATGTAAGCCTTGCTTCCACAATTGCATCTGTTGGGATTTCAAATTTCAATCCTGGTAATTGTTTTACAGAAATAATTTTATTTCCTACAATTTCTTTTGGTGATACGTATATTGTTAAACTTGGCACTTGACGTTCCAAAAACACTAGTTTCAAATTATTATTTTTAACTAAAAAATCTAGGGTTTCTCCATCATCGATTTCTGCACCAGAAACATCATACAACTGTAGCGAATTGCTGGAGGAACATGGGAACTTATTGTCACATTTTGTTAGCAAATCAGAATATTGTCACCTTTTTGTACATTAATTAATTGCATCAGCAAAAATAGGTAGATGTTAACATACAGAGGCGTACTGAGGGGTGTTCGGCCCAGTAGGAAATCACGGTCACCGGCCCAAATAGAGGTGGCCTGAAGGGTAATTAGCCCCCCAAAAAATAAACACCCCCCCCACCCAAAAAAAATTATAAATAAATATAATTAATTGTTATGAGGTACCTATAAATAGCATGTACAATTTAATTTAATTAGGTTAAATACGTACTCTGGTATGTGTTATGTTACATACTGATACTATGGGTCTAGTTTCAACATTAAAAAACATGATAACCAACAATTAGACTCAAAACAATTTTTTTCATATAATATAATTCATAGATAGAGATAGGTGGCAAAGTTTAGTAATGTCAGCAAAATCTCTTAGAGAGTAGTCATGCCAGAGAATGAAGAAGAAGAATCATAATCCATACAAATTAATGCATTATTATTTATTATAGTTAAGAAAATACTTAAATTATTAATTAATTTCATTGAGTAATTGTTTAAAAAATTAATTTCAATTTCATTGAGTAATTGTTTTTCAACACTCATAATTAAGAGTGCTTCTAAATTATCTTGACTTATATTGGCTCTGAGTCTTGTTTTAACAAGCTTAAGTTTGCTGAATGTCCTTTCGCAGTTGACTTCGGTGACTGACAAAGTAAGAAAAAACTCATATGAAGTACATAGTTGAGTATAAGCCGAGACATGCATGTTTAAATTGTATACAAGTTTGTATACACATTGTAAACAATTGTTAGTATCATGTATGCTGTTTTTGTTGTTACCTAAAATCCAACATAAAGTTCAGTCAAAATAATATTTTAAATTATATATAGAACAATATATAAGCACAATTTTACTCACAAGAAAATGCTGCATCATAATTCATATTTTCTTCATCATTATCTGTGTTTTCATCTGAATCAGTATCAAATTGACGGTATATTTGTTTAGTTTAGTTCTTTCTGTTGTAGACATTTTTAACTTGGGATACATTTTAGAAAAATTATTTAGTTCTAAGCAAAGTTGTATGTGATCTAAATTTGCTAAATTGGCCAAGTGTTTTAAAGCTGTGTTTGGCATTTGTTCAATTTGTTTAAAATTTTTAGGTATCAAGTATTGAACATCCGCTATCAATTGATTGTTGTCGGTGAAGCGTTCATTTAAACTATTATTAATGTGATCAACTATTGATTGATAAGTTTCAACTCTGAACTTGTCTAATGGTAACTCTGGTGTTTCGTCTGCACATAGCTTATCATACATTCTTTTTTTCTGCTTTGCCTAGTAATAGGTAAAGTACTTGGTACTAATAAATCATCCGGAAGATTCATACTATTAAGTAAGTCATTCATATTGTTGGAAAAATGTACAGAATTTTCTAAAATATTGTCAAAGGTTAAATGTCCAATTTCTTGTTTAACAGAATCTACCATACTCCAAGCTGATAATAAATCCATACCTCTTGTCTGAAGATAACGTGACGTTGGCCCAATAATTTTAAAGATATTCAAAAATATATGAGCTGTGAGAATTATTTTAAAATTACATAAATTATCTAATAAAGAAGATGCTTCTGAACAAACTTTAGGTTCAAAATTTCTAGAAATAGAAATATGATGCAAAGCACTTACAACTGTAGGAAAAAGACATTTATCACCATCAAAAATCCAAAACAGTGCTTTTTCTCGCGACTACCATCGCGTATTGTATTCTCCTATTTTTTGAAGTTTTTTCAATTTATTAGACCCCAAACTTGAATCAATTTCACTTAACCATATGTGCATACGTTTATAAGAGTCACTAAAAAATGTTGATAATCGATTCAAAAATCCAAACAGTTTTTTAGCTTCTACGCCTTTACAAGTATCACATACACATAAGCTAAGCACATGACTATAGCACCATATATAAACACTTTTTTGATTTTCTTGACTTTTAATTTTAGATTGTAGTCCTGAATACTCCCCTCTCATATTAGCTGCTCCATCAAATGATTCACCAATAATATGATTAAAATTAATGGAATGTTCAGAAAAAAGTTTTTTTAACATATCATAGTAGCCATTTCCTGATGAATCGACAACTTTTAATAAAGCAAATAACCTTTCTTTTACTTCTCCTTCATAAATGTACCGGATGCATACTGCTGCCTGATCTACAACACCAACATCTTGTGTACTATCAATCTGTAAACTAAAATTTTGTTCACCTAATTCTAATTTAATTCTATCTCTTATCGATTTCACGATAGATAAAATAACTTTATTCACAGTAGTTTTAGACAATAAAGTTACAAGTGAACCCCTGCCACAAGAAATTAATGATTTTTTTTCCAAATTGTCTTTTCTGCGTTTGCTGTTTTTTATAGCCGCATTCAAATGTTTGTATAATGTAGCATCCCGTTTGGCTGTAAATTTAACCAACTCCAAAAAATTGCCTTTGCTTAAATTGTCTTCATCGTTCCACTTATACAGACTTTCAGAGTTTCTAGGACCTCTAAATGGTAAATTTTGACGACCAAGAAATTTAACTATTTCAAAAACTTCACTTATAACATGGATATTATCTTGTATTTGACTTTTTTTTAACGCCATTAAATTGTTATTAATACCAAATTCAACAGACTTATCATTTGACGATTGAATATAGGCTTCTACTGAATGCCTGTGTGTTAACGATTTTTCATGTATTTTAACAACTTCATGGATATGTTTAAAATTATTACAGCCATTAGAAAATGTAGTAGGAGATGAACTGAATGCAATACAAAACGGACAGTATAAAGCTTTGAGTTCATTATCAATACAGAGGACTGATAACCACTTTCGTGAAACTTTTTTTGCCATCTGATGTTTTTCTAAAATAGAGCTTTTTTAAATCTAGTTGGATATTGCTGAAGAATGATGGCTGGATAGGATGTTTTTTGATGAAGATTAATTTTTGGAGGATATCAGGATTTTTGTTTAGTTTGAATAATTCATCATTAGATGGCAAATGATACTCTAGAGATTCAGCTTCCTAAAATATAAGTTCAAATTAAATTAATAATAAAAACCTAAAAACCTAAATTAATAATAAAAACCTACTTTTAGCAATAAAATGCGTTTAATTTGTTTGTAAGACCAATATAATTAGCAGTTACTAGTTATTTAATATTAAAAACCTTACCAATACATTCTCTGTGGCTGGGCATATCTGATTTATAGAAATGGATGAATTTAAATCAATATCAATATCTCTTGTTAAATCACCTTCATGTAGATGATTCTTATGAACTATTGCAGTAGAATTACTATCACACTAAAATTTGAACAAATATACTTTTATATATAATTTGTATAATCGATTACATTCTTATAATATTGTATATTAATGGTGTACAAAATAATAATGTAGATAGACACCTTTTTTAATAATATAATATTGAAAATCTTACCAATAAATTCTCTGTGGCTGTGTCTACCTGATTTATAATAATGGATGAATTTAAAGTAATATCAACGTCACTTGTTAAATCACTTTCATACAGATGATTCTTTTGAATTATAGCAGTAGAATTTTTTGCAGTCTGATTTATTGGTTTCTTAAACAAATTTAATAAGTAATGACATGATTGGGCAGCAATTTATAATTTGATTTTTTTTTTTTTTCGCGTTCTTTGGCCGCTCCTCCTTTTTGTTTTTTAGAATTCATATTTATAAATTAAAATGCACAGTATCAATATGAAATGATTCAGGCCGGTGTCGTACAAATTTATTTCCCCCATAAATTTATTTCCGAGTCGCACGCCGATTGGTTAAAGAGGCCACCCGAAATAACTAAACAACGCAACACCCATACAAACTAAACAACAACACCCGTAAATTTTCTTCCTATCCTGATTAGAAGTGAGTTTAAATTTACATTAGGTTTTAATAAATAAATTAATAACTTTCATGCCAAGTATGATATATTATTTTTATATTTTTTTCTTAAGCAATGCCTAAGATCAATGCAAAATCTCAAGAGCTACGTCTCGAAGAGATAAGACAAAAAAATTATATATAATGGAACACAATATACATAATCTAAATATAATAACAATATTGCAATATCACAGTATCTAATAGTTTCCACTTAGTTTTAAATATTTTGTTTTAAGTTTAGGCTTTTAACATATGTTTGAACTAAGTTTTAAAATTTGGTTAAATTTTTAGATGGACGTTTGTACTATATTCGAAATAAATCTCTACGACTTGTTTTGTATAGTCAAGAAGAAAGAAAAAGGGTTCTTAAAGAATGTCATAATGGTGCTGGTGGGGAATAGTAAGAACTCAAAATAAAATTAAAAATTTGTACTTTTGGATGTCAATTACATCTGATGTTGAAGCATGGGTTAAGTACTATTTGCTTTTTACGAAGGCTATATGTTTATTTTCTTAATAATATAAAGATAATAAACATGTAACTATCATTATTAATATAAAATTTAAATGCAATATTGCAATAATAATATACACTATAAATTGTGTTATTCTAATTAAATAATATATAGTCTATTATAGATCCAGACATGTAAACAATGTCAATCATTTGAAAAAATAAAAACAATTGCGCCACAACTACACCCAATTCAGGTTACAGAAAGTTGGTCAGTTTTAGGAGTAGATCTAATTGGTCCATTACCAGAAACAGTGAATGGCAATACAGGCCTTGCGATGAATAAGAACTGCGCGACGCATAAACACGACGTGATTTTTGACGTCATTAAATTCTTTTTATTTGCTTTTCATATTTATCGACATTAACTGCACCAATTTATTTAATTACCGCAAAACTACTTTAAATCGTTTATGTAGAAATGTTATTATTTAAAAATGTTTTGGAATGTTTCGTTTTTTAAAATGTAAAAACATTTGTTTATTTTCTCGACGTTTGTCACGTTTTGTCTATACTAAACGAATAAAAAACATTATAACTTAAATTTAAAAAAGATTATAAAATATGCTAATATTTGATTTTTTTTTTCTTAAATATGTAATTTAAAGTTTTTCAAATAATTATTTTTTCTTTTTAAAAAGTCAGCGAGTAATAAACTGGAAGTTTTAATATTGTACGATTAAAAACTGTGCAATAGCTAATATTTTTACAAGCGATTTTATATAATATTTATTTATTTATTTTTATTTATTTTCATAAAGCGGTTGATAAGCACAATCACTCGTATTAATAAAAAACTTAAACGAACGTTTTGAATAGATTTTTAATGCTAACAAGGAATTTTATTTCTAGTAAAATAAAATAAAATGTTAGAATAAAAATCTTATAGGTATAAAAGAAATATTTCAGCGAAAAAATTATTCTTAAAAATTATTCTTAAAAATTATTCGAAAAACTATTGACGTTCTATTTTTCAGCAGCTGTTCTTGAGCACGCTTCGATGAGTTTCGGTAACTTTTAACATAAAAGCGATCGTTATTATTTAAGTAATTTTTTTGAGTTACTTTTTACAAAAATTTTAATAACTGTACTTTTTTATTGAATCAAGTAGAATACGTTTTAATATTAATCCTTTTTTTTTTTATTTGCCCTCACCAATTTTTAAAATGTTTCCTCGAAATCACTCTTAAATACTTTAAATACGTCTAACAGTTAATAAATATTTTTAAATCTATGGAATAATTTTAAAACCTATCAAACCCCTGTAAAATAATTATTTAAGTTTAAAATCTAAAACTAAAAGAAAGTATTTTTGTTCAATTTTATCGACAACGTTGCTATTGCTGAATAATTTTATTAAAATGTTAGCTTAAAAGATTTAAACTTTTTTTTTAATTTTTGAATTTTTTCTACTTGTAAATAATGAGCATATTTAATTTTTTTAAATTCAAACTTTTATTTCAACTGCGTGTGGTTTTTAAAATACTTTATTAAATGTTAAAATAATCGTAAATTACTTTATTAAAATTCCGCTCAAAAATATCTTTAAATATACTCAAACAAAAATTTTTTGCTCGACGCAAATAGCCCTAGCTACACGCAAAATCGCCCTTGGACGACGTAAAATTCACATCGCCCGACGCTTTATCGCAAGGCCTGGCAATAAATATGTTTTAGCAATAACAGATTTGTTTACAAAATGGATTGTTGCTAGAGTATTGCCTGAAAAATCTGCTGCTGCTGTAGCTTTGTAGCTGCTACTGCTTTAGTTAACACTTTTCATACTTATGGTCCACCAAAATAAGTAACTACAGATCAAAGAAGAGAATTTGTGAATGAAATAAAGACTAAAAAAGTTTCTAAAACTTTTGTTTTCTTTGTGTTATTAAAAATTTATTTTATTATTTTTTTTTATTATATTTTATGTATAGCTTAACAATAAAATTTTTCAATTAATGGGTATTAAACATTCTGTGACATCAGCATACCATCCTCAAAGTAATGGTCAAGATGAACGTACAAATCAAACTTTTAAACGTGCTTTAAGCAAGTATACTAATAATGAGATGAATGACTGGGATAGGTTTAGTAGTCTATATTCTTATTTCATTTTCCTTATATATACACTATAATTTATTATTACAATAATTTTTTTTAATGACTTGTATTAGTTACACATCTGCAATTGCTTATGGACTAAACATATCATGCCAGAAATCTACAAAGATGACATTGTTTTATCTAATGAATTTAAGACATCCTCCAGGTAATGAGATGATAAATGTTCTAAATGAGACTGATGATTCTTTAAATAGTTGTTTTCTTGGAAAAATATCTGACTCAACAGTAGAAAAGTTAGTTAATGATTGTGAGGCTGTTGAGAAAAAAGTTAGGGAAAATATAAAAATTGCTCAAGAAAAGCAGTGTAAACAACATATGAAAAAAGTTGCAAAAAAGGGTATAAAGACATTTACATTTAAAATAAATGATTAAGTGATGAACTTAAATGCAAGAAAACGAGGTCGCAAAGGTGAGCCTTTATCTAAGGAGTTTTCAAGGATGGGACTATATACTCTAGCTGATTTAAACATAAAAGGTCAATGCACTCTAAAAAACCTTAATGGTGAAATTTTAAAAACAAAAGTAAACGTTTCTCAACTTAAACCTTATTATCCATGTCACGACATATATACTAATATTCAACTTTTAGAAGCAACTCATTTAGATTTGTCATACAGTAGTTACCCTGCAAGAAATACAGTCAAAAAATCTGATCCAGGTCAAATAACGTCATCACAAAATCAATTTTATATTAAAAACATTGACTCTATTGATACTTATTTATCCAAAAATAGCATTACATTTAGTGTACCAATATCAGCATTTGAGAGTATATTGAATCAAAACATGTTAGGATACATTGAAATTAATGCTGCTCAAGTAATATTAAAAAATTCAAGGTATGCAAGACACCTTATTAGGAACAAATCTCATGTTCCGTATACAGTCACAGGAGATGCTACAAATTTTGCATGACGGATCCCTTCACTGGTTGTTGATTAGCACACTTGGTTGCAGCGATAGAGTTGTTAAAATTTATGACTCAATGAAGACAGAAATGCCAACTTTGCATGTACAAAAACAAATTGCTTCAATTAGATCATGTTCTAAAAATACAGTTATGTGTCAATACCAATCATGTCAGCAACAAGTTGGAGGAATTGACTGTGGTTTGTTTGCAATTGCATTTGCAGTAGATATTTGTATGGGACAATCAATCTGCAATGCGCCAGCATTTACACAATTGCTTCAAAGCTAAGCATTTAACATCATTTCCAAGATCATATTCAGAAAGTACAGTTAATAAATGTGAAAGTTCTACGATTTTTAATGTTTGTTAATGTTCCCCTAATATTGGATTTGAAAAATTATTCAGTTTAATAGATGTGAAGCAGTCACAAACACATATTCAGATAAAGTTAATGCATGAAAATGTCTGTTGTGTATTATTTAATAGTTTACTTTTAGTATAGCTTTGATTTATTTTAGTTGTTTTTATTTTAGTTCCAGTTTTCCTTTTTTTGTTAGTTGAATGAGTTATTTACGATAGGTTTTCTCAAAAGATTATGCTATTATTTTCTCTTTTTTTTATTTAGACATTCTAGTATATTTAATGAGAATATACTATTTTATTTACTAGATTTTTGACTTAAATTGAAAATTTTTTTTTTTACAGTTTATGCTTTAATCTTGAAACAATTTGTATTGAAGTTTAATTTAGTTACATTTTTGAAAAGTTTGTTATCTTATTTTATCATGCCCTTTATTTTTTACATGAACCAATTTTAAAAAACTTCTTGTATTGTTTACGCTTTTCTTATCTTTTATTTTGTGTATTTTAGCTGTTTGAATTAACTATGTGCAATACACCTCAAAAATGGTATTTTAACTAGTCCTCTAATGTTCATAATGGTAGTTTTTCATGCTATAAACGAGCTGATGAGTAAGATTTTTTTTTTATTTGTTTTTATTTGTTTTTTCTGAACTTCTGGTTCACATTTATGTCAAATATTTTACTGTCAGTTTCAGCTGGATTTCCTTCAGCTGGATCATCAAGTAGCTTCCTGATAATACTGCTGAAAAAAAAATGACATTAAAAGTTCCAGTTTTTTCTAATTTATATATATATATGTGTGTGTGTGTGCGTGTGTGTGTGTGTGTGTGTGTGCGTGTGTGCGCGTGTATGTGGTGTGTGTGTGTGTGTATTTAAATTAGTAAAAACACTTATCTAATTTTTAGATTTCTTTAACATAATGTTTCTCCATCAGTAGGTTCATCAGGATCATGGCTTCCTGATGAACCTACTGATGGAGAATACAATTTTAGCTACTAAATAAAAAATTTAAATATGTGTGTAAATTTTGTTAGTGTATGCTACAAAAAGAGTGCTTGATTTTCATAAAAAACAAAAATGTAATAAAATAGCTTCTTGAGGATCCTATAGATGGTGAGACTGTTCAAATCATTTTTTATTTATTATATATAGTAGTATAAAATAAGAAAATATTTTTTTAAATAATACAATATAATAATATCATGATATTTTTGAATATATCACTATATTATTATATTGTTATTGCAATAATAATTGCAGTTATGCAATTAGTAACAAAAATATAAAGGAAAGAATCCAGAAATGAAGGGCTTTTTTTTTTGTCAATAAAAATACTTTTACAGTTTAACAATACTTTTACGCCCAATAAACATTGGAAAGAATTTAGAATTGGAGATCTAACCTTAGGCAGCATTACAACTTAGATATGAGGTGCAAAGTCCTATGGCTTACCTTCTAGTTGGTGCACTTCGTTAAGTAAGTTAGACATTGTATGTCTAATTTACGAACAGAATAGCCAAGGCAAATTTCATATTTTATTATTAGTTATTTTACTAGAATCCATTCAATATATATATATATATATATATATATATATATATATATATATATATATATATATATATATATATATATATATATATATATATATATATATATATATATATATATATATATGTATATATATATATATATATATATATATATATATATATATATATATATATATATATATATATAAAAGATACAAGTTCAGAGAATTCTAGTTCAGAGAAATAGTATATACAGAATTGCCAGAAAAAGTATAGTGCTAAACAAATTTCTAAAGAAATAAATCTAACTCTTAAAAATGACATCTCAAGACAGACAATAAATAGAAGATTAATTAATCGTAAACTATGCTTGTATACTGCTGCTAAAAAACCAATGCTTAAACGATCAGTTCGGCTCAAACGGCTTCAGTTTTGCAAAAAAAAATTTAAGATGAGTGATAATGATATTAAGAAAAATAGTATTTAGCGATGAATCAAATCATACAAAACTTTATTTATTTATTAACTAAGTTTTATTCTAATTCTACAGTGGGTGGCCATTAAATTAGGGCCATTGAGTTTTCTACACATTTTTGTGAAATTTTATTTATCTCCATGGCATGCTGTCAATGCATTTCTGTGCCAATTCTTTTATGTGAGGATTTCGATGCCAACCTTCATTTAGTTTTATGTGAGGATTTCGATGCCAACCTTCATTTAGTTTTATGTGAGGATTTCGATGCCAACCTTCATTTAGTTTTATGTGAGGATTTCGATGTCAACCTTCATTTAGTTTTATGTGAGGATTTCGATGCCAACCTTCATTTAGTTTTTCAATATGCTGTGTTTTATTTGTCACCAGTTGTTTTGAAGAAACCTCCCGTTTTAATAGCTCCCACAGGTTTTCTATAGGATTAAGATCCGGGGAATTTCCTGGCCAATCCAGCAGTGGAATTTTTTTCTCTCCAAGAAACTTTTTAATGCATTTTGCCGTATGGCATGGGGAATCTTGCATAAATATAAATTTGCCATCTAGAAGCCATTCCGAGACTTGAGGAATGAGCTTTTGCTCCAAAACCTCTTTGTATTGGCCCTGCCTTATTGTCCCTTGCACTATGTAAAGCCTTCCCGTACCCTAACCACATATAACGGACCACATCATAATTGACAATGGATGTTTTACTGTCTCGATAATGCAGTCTGGATTAAATTTTTCATCCACCCTTCGTCGCACAAATGAGGCTTTGTCGTCCAAGATCTGAAACGTGGATTCATCAGAAAAGCACACCTGAAAACAAATGTTTCAAAAAATGTTAGTCTTTCATTAATCTAAAGAAAATCGAGAAATAAAGCAGAGCATGACATGTTTAAGAAATAAATACCTTTCTCCAATCATCTGTTGTCATATTGCGGTATTTTATAGCCCATTTCAGTCTTTTATCCTTCATGGCAGGCGTTAATTTTTTTTTTTTTCGCAGGGCGGTAACACTTAAAGCCTAACTCATCTAAGCGTCTCCTAACTGTGCGATCACTAATATTAATTCCAGCATCTTTATTCAATGTTGTGATTATTTTTCTGGGTTTCTTTCTATTCTCCAAACAAATGTTCCTTATAATTCTCTCAGACCTTGGCGTTGTAAGGCGTTTTCCTTTACAGTTTTTACGGAGGGTGGATAAGGCTTTTTGCCATTTTTTATTTTTGATGCTATTCTTTGCACGGTCTGCCTAGAAACGCCAATTCTTCTTGAAATTTCTCGTTGAGAATAGTTGGTGTTCCTTAAAAGTGACATTATTTCACTTTTTTTACAAACATTCACATCTTTTTTTTTACCCATTGTCAGAAACTTTAAAAAATCTAAAAGACCAATAAACACACTACAAATGGTAACTGAACACAATTTCACGGTTTTACTTGTCAAAACATGCAAAATACAGTGTTGCTAGCAACAAAATAGTGTTGCCTACACAATAATTTGTAACAATGTCGTAAATAATTATGAAAAATTGTGAATTTTACGTTTGAAAGGTGAATTAATGCTGACAATATAACAAAAAACGTGATGGCCCTATTTCAATGGCCACCCACTGTAAATTTTTGATTACTATTGTATATTCAGTTGTCGTAGAATGTTCTGCGAATTTATTTCCACATCGGAAATAAATTTATGTCGGGAAACAATTTTATGCGTAAGCTGCGTAATATTATTTCCTTTGTAACCGAAACTTGCGCCACGGAAATAAATTTATGGGGGAAATAAATTTGTACGACACTGGCTGCAAATCGACAATTATGTTTTTCCCACGGCATACAATTTGCTGTAATTGATGTTCTTTATAAAAAAAGAGAATTCGATACAAATCAGCCAGAACTTGAAAATGAATTTTTTGACAGTGATTCATCCGGGAATGAGGATATTGAGGAAGATTTACTGGGCTGCAATCGTGAAACTTTAAGACCTAAAATCGAACTAATTGAAGTTCATTATTGACCAGTCATTAAAAAAGTACGCAAGCTGATAATAATATTTAGACGATCACCTTCCAAGAACGACATCTTACAAAAATATATTAAGGCTGAATTTGGAAAACAACTGTCTTTAATTATAGACTGCAAAACAAGGTGGATCAGCCTTCTGTTAATTCTTAAACGATTTTATAAAGTAAAAAATTGTATGGAAAAATCATTAATTGATATTTACACAATGCAAGATAATTCTATAGCTCTGTCGCATGATGATTTGACAATATTATCAGACATTATTACAAGTTTAGTTCCTATTAAAGCAACGGTTGAAGCAATTTGTCGCCGAGATTCTAATCTATTTACAGATGACATTGCTATTAATTTTATGCTTACAAAATGAAAAAATGCTGACAATAACACAAGCAAGGAAATGCGAAGAGCTTTAATGTATACATGAAAGCCGAACTGATATGAGTAGACTTCTGCAATACCTGCATAACGGTCGAAGCTCCGTTGAAGTCGATGAAGAAATAATTACAGTGTCTTCTTTATTTAAATGTCGAAAACTGTTGGTAGAATTGCTGGAAAAATTAAACAGAAAGATTAAGGTTTCTCAATCCTGGAATCCCGGGGTTGATGTTTCTCAATCCCGGAATCCCGGAATTTTTTAATATTTAATACAATATTAACAAATATATCAATAAGAAAAATTACATGCGAAGAAACCGTTAAAAAATAAAGAATAAAGATAAAGTACGCGGATACTCAAAGAAGACCATACAGGTCTTGTCACCGAGAACCGCTGTTAATGAAATTTGAACTTAATTTAGATTTTAGAAAAAACAAAAATATATAAATACAAGTTTTAAATTTTTCTTTACTTATGGTCTTTATGGCTTGAATTAAATTTGCAGCCGTGGCGCAGTGGTAGCGCACTTGCCTCAGAAACGTAAGATCCCTGGTTCAAACCCCACCTCTGAGCAAGTTTTACGACATCGGTTGGGAAGGAGGCGTGAACTTCCTATTAAATGCTCTTCCGCGGTGCTCTGTGATAAGACCGTAAGGACTCCTTGGGGCACCTAAATCAACTTGAAAAAAAAAAGTACTAATTCTTCTGAATTGCATGACTCAAGCGAAAATAAATAATATCATAATATTCTTGATAAACAAATACGTCTCGCATCTGACCGCATCTATAGGATCAATGAATCTTGTTACTCAAATGTATCTTACAATTACACTAATCTTAATTGTTAATTAATAAATAAATAATCGAAAATGATAAGAATATGATTGTACTAGGTACATCCAAATGCACTTCAAGGTTGTCCAAAAGATTGTGTAGAAGAATTTAGAAAGCCAAATGATGGTGTCACTGTGTGTGAAGCCAAAATTATCAAATGTTGGTGCGGTTACGTTTACGCTTCCACCGACAAAAATGCTAAACCACTGTCAAAGGAAGGTTAACTTCCAGAAGTATCATACATACAATATTTGCAGATACATCCATTCACATACATCAATTATATATATATATATATATATATATATATATATATATATATATATATATATATATATATAATATATAAATATATTTTCAATTGAGAAAATTATTTTTTTTAGTTTTCTTTTGAACATATAATAATTCCATTCATGTTTTCATTCCAAGTTTCTGGAAAAATATTTGTGTTATTTATTAAATTGTCTTCGAAATGGACAAAATTTATATTTTTAAAATCTTGTTCAAAAGCATTATTCGAATCCATTTTTAATTAAATTGATATTAAAAAATTTTGCTAATATTGTATTTATTTAAATATATTAATAAATTATTTATCCTGAGGTATTAAATTTTCCGTGCTTTCAGATGTTTTTTTTTTGTTAGAATTCATGGATAACAAATTTATTTACACTTTTGCCGATAAACAAAATTTACAGTCAAAACTTATAAAAAAATAATGACCCCAGCGGGCATTTTGACGTCGAACGAACGTCGAGCGACGTCGGATATCGACGTCGGAATAAATATATATTTTATTATTAATATATTTAATATAAATATATATATTATTAATATATTTAAGTAAGTACAATATTAGCAAAAACTTTTTAATATCAATTTATTTAAAAATGGATTCGAATATCGACCGCGCGACGTCAGCATTTCGATGTTAATCCAACGTGTTTTTTGTGAACTAAAAAGAATTTCCATTGGCAGGAAACGCGTTTACCACTACAACACAGGGACATATTATTAGATGGAAATATTTAGTAACATATATTTAAAGTTATTTGGGAATTATTACTTTGATAAGAAATAATTTAATTTTAATATTATATAAATATTAAAACAAACAGTTATATTTTATAAAGAATGTATATTCAAAAAATTTGAAAGTTCAAAAACTTTGCTAGTGCATCATACAAATACTCATGATGTTTTATCAACCATTATTCGAATTAGCTTCCATTATTAAGAAACAAATTTGGTACACATTTTTGTTAAAGAGCGCAATTGCACACATAACGTCAGGTTTGGATCGAATTTTCATCAGCGGTGTCATAAAAAGACGTTCCAACATCTTATATGGACGTTGGATTGACGTCGGAAGACGTCAAGGGACATCGGATGACGTTAATATTACGACGTCGCCCGACGTCTTTTTATCGACGTTGAAACATAATCAATAAACGATATGCGATATATTAATATATCGCATATCGTTTAAAATTTATAGTTTTTGAAAGAATAAAAATTAAGAATTGTTTTGTAAAATAAAAGAAACAAAATTTAATAAAATATTAAAATGACATTTGGGAAGTGATTTTAAAAATAATAAGATATGATTTTATATAATAAAGATTTTATTCTTAAGGCAGCTTTGCACCGAGCGAATTTTTTCGCGCGAAGTGGAAAGCCGCAGAATTTCGCAGAATCAGAATTTTAATTTCCACGTAACTTTAGCGTAACCTTTAGCGCGCTTTTTGGAAAACATGTTGATTAAAAGAAGATTGTTGTTAGTTCGAAGAAAATTAATTATTTTAAAAATGTTGCAAATGATACAAGAAAAAGAAAAGAAGAAAAAACGATTTTGGGTAAGGAAAATTTATACCGAACGCCTTCAGAAAGGAGAGTTTCATTTATTAGTCCAGGATTTACGTTTACACGACCAGGAATACTTTTTTAAGTATTTTCGTATGTCTCCAACAACTTACGAAGAGTTGCTTTCGTTTGTAGCGCCTATCATTGTAAAACAAAGAACTACCATGAGAGACCTTGTGTGTCCGAGTGAAAGGCTGGCCGTAACACTTAGATTTCTTGTAACAGGAGATGCTCAGTGTACTATTGCTGCAAGTTACAGAATCAGCGCTTCTACTATCAGTAGGATTATTAGTGAGACATGCGCTGCTATCTGGACATCATTGAAAGAGAGAAATTTTCTACACGTCCCATCAGAAAAACAAGAATGGAAAACAATTGCAAAAGAATTTGAAAACATGTGGAATTTTCCGCATGCTATAGGTGCAATAGATGGCAAGCACATCGTTATGCAAGCTCCTCATAATGGCGGATCAGAGTATTTTAACTATAAGAAAACGCATAGCATAGTTCTTCTAGCTGTTTGTAATGCTAAATACGAATTTACTATGGTAGACATTGGTGACTCGGGAAGACAGAGTGATGGTAGCGTTTTTAACAACTGCAGTCTAGGTTATGCAATTGAAAATAATAAATTGAATATTCCTGATCCCGAATTTATTGGTAATTCAGAAAAGGTATTACCGTACGTTTTAGTTGCTGACGATGCTTTTGGTTTAAAAAGACACATGATGAAACCATACCCTAATCAAAACATTTCTTTAGATCAAAAAATATTCAACTACAGACTTTCAAGAGCCAGAAGGGTAATAGAAAATACATTTGGTATTGCTACAACACGGTTTCGAATATTTCGCAGACCAATTATTGCTAATCTTGAAAAAGTCATTTTAATTACACAAGCGATTGTAGCCCTACATAACTTTCTTATGAAAAAAAGATCAGCAAAAAATTATGTCTACTGTCCCACAAATTACACCGATATCGACGGTCCTGCTGGATTTAGACAAGGTGATTGGAGACAAGATAATTCATGTTCTGCTGCGCTACAACCAATGTCACAATCAGGTTCTAACAACTACTCAAAAGATGCAAAGCAAGTTAGAAATGACTTTAAAGAATACTTTAATACACCAGAAGGAGAACTGGAATGGCAACTAGACTTGGTAAATAGAAACTTGTAATGGTGAACGTATAAGTCACTATTTAAACCATGGAGTTTAAGGGTAAATGCTAATAACTATTACTCAAAAAATTGACATTTTTTCTGGTATTTCTTTAAGGACAAAGTAAATTATGTTAACAATTGATATAGTAAAATTGTAAGACTTTTACCAGGTAGAGCACATATACTTTTAATAATATAATAATAATTTTATTACAACAATACTTAAAATCTTGAACTTCAAAATAATAATTTTTATGTTGATCTAAAGATTGCTTTTTACATATAAATATTTCATAGAAAAGTTAAAATTAAAAGTTTTTAAACTTAATAAATAATTACACCAATGCCAAAAAAACCTGATAATGGAAAAAAAGTCAAAAGTAAGAAGTACATTAAAGATGTTCTTAAAAATAAAAATACATTGATAAAACAAATAAAATATAACAGAAAATTATTATATATATATATATATTTTATAATTATAATTATATATAATTTACTCTAAATCTCTTCATTCTCATCATATTTCATGTTGAAAAGAAGTGTTTTTATCTTTATCATAGCCCGTCTATTTTCTTTTATTGGAGGTTCTATCATAATAGGAATAAGGCTTCTACAAAATAGGGTAGTTTCATCTTCCTCAACATCTTCCATTGACTTTTTTAATATCTTGTCACACTCTACTAATGATTGTGACAATTGTGACAATGACTCATCATTTTGATTTTTGATTCGTGCCTTCTTTTGAATGGGTGATCTGGTATGGCTTAATCTTTTTCAATTTTCAGTTAGAATTAATTCACTGCTAAAACTACTGGTACTTGGACTTGATTGTGTAAAACTATATTGTGAGTGAAACGATGATGGTGAAGCAACATCTGGGACAATATCAACATTAGATTCTGTTGGTTTGTTTGCACTTTTTTCATGCAAAAATGTCATTTGATCAAAAAACTTACATTTTGGTAAGTTTGAGGCTGCTGCTCCTGATCTGGTCATACGGTTACGTTTATCTAAACATTTTTTTAGTGTATCTTTGAGATTTTTTAACTTTTTCTGAAGGAAGTCCTCTTCTTTACAAAATTTTAATGCAAGTTTTTTCCAAGCGTTTACTTTAACCAATCTGTCTTTGTATGTGGGGTGATTCACATCCCACAAGCTTGGAAGCTCTTAAACAGCTTCTATAAAATGATCTATATCGAATTCAGTAGGAATAAAATTATCGTTTTCATTCTCTTCGTTTTCGTCTATTTCATTAACTACTTCTTCATTCGTGATTGCAACTTGATTTTGAGAAGCATTTATTAAAGCTTCCAATAAATCTACGTTAACATTTCTTTCTTTAAACCACTCAATAAACGTGTTACTATTGTCGGCCATTAAAATTTTTTTTTTTTTTTTTTCTACATGCTGAATTTTTATATTTGCTTAATTTGCATATTTCAAAAGTTATGATTGGCTCTTCCTTCAAGCGAAAAAATGCGCTACCAAAAAAGTTGAAGTCAATCCAACTATTATAAAAAATGATTGTGCGCATGCTCAGAAATATTCGCGGCGAAATATTTCGCTTCGCGCGAAATAATTTGCTCCGTGGAAAGCCGCCTTTAAGGCGGCTTTCCTTCTGGTGTATTAAAGTATTCTTTAAAGTCATCAAAGTAATATTTAAAAATACAAATAGCATGGGCGACAACACGGGTTTCGAAGTGAGGGGAGGGGGGCACGGCGAATTTTTTTTGCCTATAGCTTTCTTTTAAGAAATACGAAATTTGGTCCAAAACGTTCACAGTTTTTAATTTTTATGAAAAGATGAAAAAAATTACCATCTTTATCATTGAATTAGGGCTATAGATATAAATTTATGTATTTTTGTATATTATGTATTTTTAAGTGTAAATATATATCGTGTGTTTTTTTATAAAATCTACTACTATTATTAAATCTACTTATAAAATCTACTTTTTTATAAAATTTACTAAGCTATATAGATATTGAAATTTAACTTATTTAAAAAACTAGTACTAAAACTAGAAATAATCAGCTGGATAGACTAAATGACGGTTTCTCTAACTATTAATGTTATTACTTATAAAGATAAATTTCAATTGGATCTCATATTCCAGTTTACAACTAAATGTCTAAATTACAGTTAAATAGTCGTTTTAAGCAAAATAGACAAAAAAACTACTGTTTTTTTAATGAAATACGTATATATTTACGACATCAGAAGGTATATGTTGTAAACTGAAATTTTAGATATACACATTATGAACCCATGTGTGAATTTTTAGATCATAAGATGCATCATGGATGGAGTCTATTTATGAGCTTGATAGGAAGTTATTTTATCGGTAAAAAGATGGTTCAGAAACCATTATGAATTTTTTAATACGTTATTCGGAGAAAACTAAATTACTTGGCGCGTAAAAATAAAATAAACTGTTTTTGTTACATCCGTATCCGAAAATTTCGTAAATCATAGCAAGTGGGATAAAATCAATCAAAATAAATCGCCGTGGGTTGGAGGGAGGAGGCACATTGGTCAATTCTTAAAAATAGTCTTCTATATCTAGAATTTTCTTTCCCGTATCCTCGGCCCTGATAGAGAAAAAGAAGATTTATTATTTAAAAGTAAAAATATTCATAATTAGTCAAAAAAGAAGATATAATATTTAAAAATACATATAGTGAATAAAGCATGCATAGTATTTAAAAATATAAACAGTCGCTAATAGTCAAAAAAAGAAAACAAAATATTTAAAAAGAAAAAAGAAAAGATATATGTATATATATATATATATATATATATATATATATATATATATATATATATATATATATATATATATATATATATATATATATATATATATATATATATATATATATATATATATATATATATATATATATATATATATATATATATATATATATATATATATATATATATATATATATATATACATATATCTTTATATATACATATATCTATATATTATATATATATATATATATATATATATATATATATATATATATATATATATATATATATATATATATATATATATGTATATATATATATATATATATATATATATGTATATATGTATATATATATGTATATATATATATATGTATATATATATATATATATATATATATATATATATATATATATATATATATATATGTATATATATATATATATGTATATATGTATGTATATATATATATGTATATATATATGTATATATATATATGTATATATATATATATATGTATATATATATATGTATATATATATATATATATATATATATATATATATATATATATATATATATATATATATATATATATATATATATATATATATATGTATATATATATGAAGAGTCCAGGGGAAAAAACGGCAAAGTCACATTTAAAAAGTTTTAAGAAAGTATATATTGATCATTTATAAAAGTCTTCATATGAAACAAAAAAGTCTAAAAATTTGCAAAAAAAAGATATTTCTTGATTAATTTTTCTTAAGTTTACATTTTTAATAAAATTTTTGTAATCTTTCTTAAAAATTTGTATTACCTATCTTTATACAAGGACTTTTATAAATGATCATTATATACATTCTTAAAACTTTTTAAATGTCGTTTTTATCCCTGGACTCTTCATATATATATATATATATATATATATATATATATATATATATATATATATATATATATATATATATATATATATATATATATATATATATATATATATATATATATATATATATATATATATATATATATAAAACACTTACTAAAGCGTGTTTTGATAAGCATTTGCTCACTTTTTCTGCTTACCTTAAACTATACCGTTTTTTTCGAAAAAGAAAAAGAAAAAACGAAGAATAATGAATAAAACGATTGCTTCCCCATCCCAAACCCTCAGTCGATGTAGCAGCATTCCACTGCGAGTCAGTCGATGTATGTACTGAAGCCCCCAGCAGCAGGCTATTTCAGTATGACATCAGATTGCTTACCTTAGTACGCAATACTATTTGTATATAATATATATATATATATATATACTACTGTGATCAAAAAGTAAGGTGAATTTTTTTATAAAATCAAAAATCTTTTTTTATTCTTCCAAATCTGTATCGTCCCCCTCAAAATAATCCCCCCCGGCCCCAATGCACTTATGCCAACATTTTTTCCAGTCTTCGAAGCATGCCGAAAAGTCCTCGGTAGGGATAGCCTTCAATGCGCGTGCCGATTCACGTTGGATCTCTTCAATGGATTGAAAACGATTTCCCCGGAGTTGTCTCTTGAGCTTTGGGAACAGCCAGAAGTCACACGGTGCTAAGTCGGGCGAATACGGTGGTTGTGGAGCAACATGGGTAGAGTTTTTGGCGAAAAACTCACGAAGAACCAGTACTGTGTGCGAAGGCGCATTATCGTGGTGCAAAATCCAAGAGTTATTGGCCCATAATTCCGGTCTCTTTTTGCGAATAGCTTCACGCAAACGTCGCATAACGCTTAAATAATATTCCTTGTTGACAGTTTGGCCAGTTCGAAGGAATTCGTAGTGCACGACATCACAATAATCAAAAAAAACAGTAAACATGACCTTGATTTTTGAGCGACTTTGACGTGGTTGCTTTGGTCTCGGCTCGCCTTTTTCACGGTATTCACTCAATTGGTCAGTTGTTTCAGGGTCGTATGCGTAGACCCAAGTCTCATCGCCAGTAATAATTTGTTTGTAGACGTCTTGATAGTCAGAAAGCATTGCTTCACACGCTTTAGCGCGACGCTCTTTTTTAAAGAAATTGAGAAATTTTGGCACGAAACGTGATTTGAGTCTTCTGAGGCCCAAATGATCCTTCAAAATCGCTTGCACCAACCCAAATGATATTCCAACCATGTCAACAAGGTCTTGAATGGTTAACCGACAATTTGCAAGCACCAATTCTTTGATTTTGTTGATTTGGCGAACATCAATCGAAGTCGATGGTCGTCC